CCCCATGCTTGAGGTAAGTTTACTTAAAAGTCTACTTAAAATATTTAAGTTTACTTAAAATATTTATATATCCTTCCATCTTATATATCATAACCCTGGGCAACTTACAAACAATAATAAAACAATAAAAATCATAAAACCAATATTAAATCTCCCAGCACACCCAAAGACAACAAAACCCTCATGTCCAACAGACAATTTTCCTGGATTCCAGCTAACACACTACCCCAACGCCTATAGGAAAAGCCAGGTCTTCTAAGCCTTTCAGAAGGCCAGAAGGGTAGGGCCAGCTGGATCTCAGGGGGAAAAGTGTTCCAAAGGGAAAGGAGGGGCTACCAAGAACATATGCTGCCTAGGTCCCACTAGATGGCAACATTTAAGAGGAGTATGCCCACCTTATTGGACCCATGGAGCAGGAAGATACTCTCAGAGAGAGGCAGTCCCATAAATAACCTGGAAATTCTTGTTACTGCTGTTGTTTTACATAACTTAATACTTCCTTTTTGACATGTTTTGTATCCAAAGATGCCTTTTGTGAGTAGAAAGACAGTTTCCTTCACACAGGTCATTCCCAGTGAATCCCATCAATTCTCCTTTCTTGCATTCCCTTATTCTTCATTCATGCTATTCTAGAGAAGCTCCTGACTCATAGGCAGATTTGGAGGAAACTGGCAGGGGAATATAATACAGTGCAGGGAAGGCAAGGAAGCTCCTTTGCTGAAGACCACTTTTACTCCCACTACTCTCAAGCTAACTTATTTTCCTGTAGATTTCAGTAAAATTTAAAAGCATGAAATATAATAATGTTGTAAACTTATATCAGTAAACATAGTGTAAGCAAAAGAACAAAACAAAAAACAAAAACAAAAAGACACAGTGAGAAATGTATTTTTCTTTACTCTATATTTCATGTATTAATCGTTGAAAAGTTCTCCCCAAAACATCCATTAATTATTTAAATATGGAAATAAGTAAATTAGTGTATACACCTAATATCAATAAAACAATCTGAGAAGCATTATAGTTAGTTAGCATTCTGCCATTCATCTAAAACTGAAAATACTATGATCATTGTAAATGGCCATTGTATAAATACAATAAATAACGTTTTTCACATTCATGTAAGACTCCTGCATAAGCATTCACTCCAATATTTGCTCTAATAACAGATCTTCAGCACCACAAAAGGAAGAATGAGAGACAGAAAGCAAGGGAATGGATGCTGCTATACAAATAGCTGGACATTCTTAGCTGGAAGTCTTAATCTGTGAAGACTGGAAACATTTAGGAGCACAAAAGAACTTTCACCCATTTTTGCAAATAATTCTCAATGCAGTGGAAAAATCTGGACAAGCGAATTAGAAGGTGCTAGTATCTCAGCTTAACTAATATCAGCAAGCACAAGGTGGATAATAGAAGAAACTGGAATTATATTGCTATATATATATATATATATATATATATATATATATATATATATATATATATATATATATATATA